AAAGTACTATGAACATTCTCTTAGGGGGCCAAAATCCAATCTGCCCAGGTTTTGGCGATTATTAGAGAAAATGAGAAACAAGTCGAGATTTATGATCTGGCACAATTTCCTATAGCAAAGAGATTTAAATGATTGCAATAGGAGAAATTTCAAGATTTACAATTTTTCAAATCAATCACGATCTTTATCACTTTAACAGTGGAACAACACAACAACCTTAAAAAAGATATGACTAAAAGACAACGCCACTTACCAAATCATGTGAAGAATTCTTTAATTCAGATAGAATAGTGGAAGAGTCTGCTCTAATAGGACAGTTAAATACCTGAAAATTAAGTTTTGAGAAGTCAGTGAAAAAAGGTAGCTAATATCAAATATTGATCTAAACATCTAAACAGGGCAAGAGTGTTCAGCAAACAAAACCCCCCAAAAAACTGTACAAAGATGAAAGAATTCATTGCTTAATGCTTACTGCAAAACCAGCAAATGTGAGGCCAGATTCTACAGTATCCCTCTCCATGCTTCTAGCTTCACTAACCTACAGGAGACATGACAACACATGAGATCAGAAGGCTGTACAAATCTACAAGGAAAAGAAAGAAGTTAAAACTGCAAGCCTTTATGGTTCGTCATGCATTTTAAGAAACTTATTATATTATATAATGCTGGTTTTATCCTCAGGAAGAGGGTGTCTAAACTCTAAACACTTTTCATGATCAAGGTCTCTAATCTAGATTTGAGATTATCTAATAATGTCCTAGGGTGAAAAAGGAGAGAGCCAATTCCAAATAAAAACTAGTTTCAACTAATCTAAAACTTATTAAAGTGTTGAAAGATTTTGGCACCAGAGTGAGTCCATGGCCAAGTAAAAAAAGTGGTTAGGACTTGGGAGTACAACTATAACCCATAAGGAATTTAGTCGCTTAGGTTAAAACTGAATTCATGGGGTTAGTATTATTTTACAGAACCTATAGAAAATCTTTGAAATCAACCCTTAACCAAAAAAAAATGTTTCATTTAATTCTATCATGATTTTCGTATACCTGAATTATACTGAAGTTTTCATTAAACAAAAAGTTCATAAAGTTCAAACTTACAAAAATTCTAACAAATTGGATCTCTAGAAAATAAAGCTCATATACTTAAACAAATTAAGATTATGTGAATAGATTAAGAATGTGTTTTACTAGTTTCAGATAAAATGTCAGGCCTTTCAGCTTTCAAATGATCAATCTATCCAAAAACTGATATGCCTGAGATTAAGTCCGATAACTGACAAGAATAATTTCAGTGACAAAATGAATTAATTCAGTTGGCTAATTAGTTAAAACTGAATTACACAGCTGATACCGGTCAAATCACTTCTTTTTCCTTCTCATTTTTCTACCCTAAAAAGAGGCCATGTTATTGCAAAGGAACTGTCCACCATGAAATTTGTTGGAAATGTTTCCAATTGTTGGAACAAATAATTCTATTACAAGCGAATTTAGATTTATTGAAGCTCTCACAAGGAGGGGGTGGGGGCAGAAGTATAACCCAGCAATCAGTTATAAACTAACAATATTGCTACCAATGTTATGAGATTCATAGCTACTGCACAACATCTTATGTTGCTTGAGAAAAGGAAAGAAATAAAAATAACAAGAAAAAGACACCGGGAGCATGTTCAATATTGAATCCATATAAAACTTACTGTCATATCTGGAAGAGACTTGTAAGCTAGGGCCAGGACACGAGACCCTTGTCGTGTATATTTCTTGTAGGTTTCAACATATGTAGGAGGCAAATCAACGAGTCTATCTTGGATAGTCTCAGGTGCACCCTACAAACATAAGTTCACGCTAATGAGAAAACAATGTTAAACAGTTTCTTCTTTCTAAATAACTACTTTACATGGCATATATCAACTTATGAAAGCTAGCAAATGCATTATGGAAGGCCCAATTATTACCCCTTAATCAGATGGCATATGGAAAAGGGAGGAGAAATATAGCTTTAACTATCATACATAACAATGTCAACCCTTAATGGGTACAGTGCTTCAAACATTCCTAAGCAAAAACAATGTTTGTTGCAGGTGTGATGCTTCTGATTTGGCATAGAAATGTTTGTGATAGTTTTATTTCATTTCACTACGCCAAGGATGTTCCTTATATCCACTTCTTTTTAATCTTGTGGGAGAATTTCTAAACCTTTTGCTTTCTAAAGCAGTCGACTTGGGGTTGTTTGATGGTTTTCAGATAGGCCGAGATAATTCATCTTTTACACTTTCTCACTTACAATTCGCTGATGATCTGATAATTTTCTGCAGAGCCTCATAAGGTCAATTGAAGAATATTAAGAAGGTTTTGGTTGTCTTTGAATTGTGTACAGGTTTGAAGCTAAATCTATTGAAAAGCAAGATTTTTGGGATAAATATAGAAGATCAAATAGTTGAGGATTGGGCAAATTCTATTGGGTGTATTCGTGGTGAATTTCCGACGGATTATCTGGGGCTTCCTTTGGGCGCAATGCGGAATTCTGTATCTATGTGGTAACCGATAGTGAATAAATTTTATCAGAAGCTTGCAGGGTGGGAAATAGGGTCGTTATCGCTTGCGGGAAGAGTTGTTCTTGTAAAATCGGTCCTGGATACACTCCCAAATTTTTACATGTCTTTTTTTAAAATGCCTGTGGGTATTCGAAAGAAGCTGGAATCTATCATGGCCAATTTTTTGTGGGGGACCACAGTACAGAAGAAAAGGATCCACTGGGTTAATTGGTCGCTAGTATGCAAAAAGAAAGAATTTGGGGGTTTGGGTATCTCAAATTTAAAACTGCGGAATAGGGCTCTATCGGGAAAATGGGTTTCCAAATTTGGGACAGAGAAGGATTCTTGGTGGAAAAAGATTTTATGTTGCAAATATAATGTTGATAGGAAATCTATTGTTTTGAACAAGGAATTGCCTACCAATGCTTCTTGGATTTGGAAAGGAGTCATCAATAATTATTGGTCGAATGACACCGTCGGATTATGCTTTCGTAATCACCATATTTTACAGGTGAGAAAGGGAGATTCAATTAGATTTTGGCATGATAGTTGGTTAGGCAACATCCCTTTGAAGATCAAATTTTCCAGGATGTTTTCTTTGTCGGTTAAAAAGGATGGGTTCATTGCAGAATTTAAAAATGTTAGCAATGGGAGGTGGAGTTGGGACATTCACTTGAGGAGAAATTTGATGGATAGTGAAATTGATCAATGGATTGAACCGATGTCGTTGTTGGATTCATTTCAGCCTGGATTAGAGACTAAAGACTGTTTCATTTGGAAAGGAAATGGTGAGGGTGTGTTTTCGGTTAAGTCATGCAGTATCCTAATTTCCAGCTTGTCCGAACCAGATTTGTCATGGTCAAAGCTTGTTTAGAGAGGGTTATTACCTCCCAAAGTTGAGGTTTTTCTTTGGAAGGTGGTACATCAGAAGCTGGCTGTTAAGACTAATTTATTGAGTAGGGGTGTCCAAGGAATTCAAGATTCTCTATGCACGTTTTGTGGTTTGGAGCAGGAGTCGGTTAATCATTTGCTCTTTTCGTGTCAAACTGTGTGGGAAATTTGGATGCGCATCCTTCGAATGTGGAATTTATTTTCTGTTTTTCCAGATAATCCTAAAGGTTTTCTGCTATCATGGTTTGAGTTAAATCCAAATTTTGATATTTGGAAACTTATTCCGGGTGCTGTTTTGTGGACTGTTTGGAATTGCAGGAATCATATTGTGTTTGAGGATGGTAGACTGGATAAGGCTAATCTTTTCTTCTTGGTTAAGTATAGGGTGGCTTCTTGGTTCTTGGTTAAATTCAATGATCTCAATATCCAAGTTGACTGTCTGGTGGGTGATTTAACCTTGGCAAATTATAACGGTGCCCCTCCAAAATTGAGAATGAATAAGCCAAAGTGGTGTCCACCACCTACGGGTTTCTTTAAAATGAATGTGGATGGGGCTGTAAATTTTGATTGGAGGTGTAGTGGTATTGGGGGTGTACTCCGGGATGCTGAAAATAATAGGTTGAGTTCTTTCTCAAGAGCGACTGGTCCAGGCCCCCCGTGTAACATCCCAAATTAGGGTCAGTGACTAAATTGCAAATTTTGAAAGTTTTGTGCTCAATTTAGAAATAAATTAAAAGTCTCGGGATTTAAGTAAAGAATTTTAATATTGGATTAAATAGCAAAGATGGATGAACTAAAGGGGCAAAATGGCCTTTTCATGGGAAAGATTTTTATCTTCCCTTTTTGAGTATTATAAAACGTGGGAAATATGAGAGAGTTCCAGACTTCTCTTCTTCATTCTCTTCTTTTCCACCGTGAAGCCATAAGCAAAGGTAAGATCTCTTGTTAGTTGATATTTAGCTGAATTTAGGATTTGGTTATGATCATTGGATGATAATTAAGCTTAAGGAAAGCTTAAATCATCTTAAAAACAAAGGATGGTGGAATTAGGAGAGATTAAAGATTAAGAGTTTTTGAATGAAATATTAGAATAGAATTCATTACTCAAATTGGAAGTTGAATTTGACTTGTCATCTATGAGAATAAGAAGTTAGAAGTGTTAGAATTAAGTTTGGGTAACATGGAAAATTTGGTATGATTATTGATTTCTATATGGAGAATAGAATTTTGAGGTTTAAGATGAAATTAATGGGTATAAATTAGTTTAAGTATGTATATTTGAGTTAAGAATATTAAAGGAAGTGAAATAGAAAGTGTGGAACTGAAAATGAAGTGATTCTCGAGCTCAAAACATGATTTCTGGGCAAGGGGAATCGGTACCCATTCAAAGGGGAATCGATACCCCCTCAACCGAACCAGAAATTCCAGAATGTCCTTGGGGAACCGATTCCCCCTAAAAGAAAAAGTGATTATTGGTTTAATGAGTTCGGTTAAGTTTCTAGTATCAAATTACAAGGTGTAGGTATCTAATAATTGCCTTAAAATGTATAATTATGTAGATTCAGAGCCTGAACGAGTTCCGGAATCATTGTCAAGTAAGATCGATCAAAGGGAAAGATAAGAGATTGGAATTGACTAGTGAGGCCAGGTGAGTGCATATTCAATAGTATATGATGGGTGATGGGAAGAAGACTTGCGATGAGTCTATTTCCTGAAGAGTTACATATGAATTCATGATTAAAGGCATGAGTTGAATATGAGTGTATGTATGCTTGATTATATGAATTGATATGTTTTGTATGTGCTATGTGGTTTATGTACAAACACTATTAAGTGTTAATGAGAGAATATCAAATAAGTTATGAAATTATATGAATATAGAAGATAAGTCAAGAGATGTAGGGAAATGGAAATAGAGGTTTATGAAGAATCATAGGAGAATAAATATATGTAATAAGATAATGAAATATAAGACTATGTGAATACATGGTTATGAGAATTAGTAAAATTGAGTTATTTGATTTAATGAGAATTGAGGAAACTAAATAAGATTGAATTATAGAATGGAATGGGAATAATACATCAATTAGGGAACTTGAATATAAAGCGATGATATGTATATATATAGGATAAATTATATGCTAAAGATCTATGGAGTTATATGAAAAGGTTATAAGGAATATATGAAATTGAATTAATTAAATGGATTAAAGTAGTATATAAATAAAATATGATTAAGTGTAATATATATGTTTAGAAATACGACATAAATTATATAATCTAAGGGAATACAAAGAAATAAAGCATAAAGTAGACGAAATGAGATAAGTTATTAAATACCTATATGATATACATTATCAGGTAATATGAAAGGATTCAGGAAACTTATATAAGCTATGTGAAAGTGATCTAGGTGTTTATATGTGAATTATTCGGTGATAAATTATATGAAATAAGTGTAGTGATTACCAGATCATAAGAGATAAGTCAGAGAATGTGAATCATATGACCAGAAACTATGAGCATGTGTGATGAAATGAATATATGAAGACATGACTATGAGATATGTGATAAGAAGTTATAATTAAATGATCAAGAGATATAAGCTAAGGGATATCTGCGAATTACATGAAAATGTGCTATGTGTATGTGAATTACGTGATTATATGAATATGAAATCATATGAGAATTGACATGAACTACGTGATTACATGTATGTGTGAATGAAGCTACGAGCTTATATGAATATGTGATATGTTTACATGAATATGTGCAAGGATATAAAAGATAGTGCCCATGTTATGTGTCCTGAGAGCTTTGGGGTATAGTTGGCATGCCAAGAGTCGAGGGTCTACGCGGTCCTTCGGGACATATAGGTATCCTATGGAACATCTATGAGGTCCTTTGCAACACATATTTGGTCTTTAGCATATGTATATGATTCTTAAGGAATTTTCTACGTGGTCTTTCGGGACGTATATGTATTCTTTGGAGCATGTATGAGGTCTTTTGAGACACTTACTTGATCATTGGTATATGTATATGGTTCTTAAGGAATTTATATGTGGTCCTTATGGACAATCTTATATGGCACTACGGTGCAAATTCTACGCGACACTTCGGTGCAATTATACGAGCTGTGGTAACAGCATTAGTGCACAACCTCTATAGACTCACATACCTATAGTTCTCACATATGTCCATGGGCTAATCAGGAGATAATAACAAATATATGTTTGTGATATGATAAATGTTGTAGAAATGATATGATGTTGTGTGTGTGTATATTGTTTGATTAAGGGGTTTAAGTATAAAAGTATGTGATTAAAAGATAAACTGTTGATGATGCTTTATGTGTATGTAGGTATATTTTGTTAAGTAATCTGATAAGATTTTGTATGCTATGATGAAATAAGGTGATTTAGTATAGCATGATAGAATGAAACATGCATGCATTGTTAAATGTTATTAAGTGCATTATAATTTTTATTTGTCTCACTAAGTCATCGACTTAGCGTGTGAGTGTTTCACACGTAGGTTCCGGAAAGCTAGAAGAAAAGCTAAGAGAGCAAGCCGGGTCAGCATCTCCCTTACAAATTTCAGATCAGAAAATAGATGATTTAAATGATTTTGGTTATTTTGAATATAATTGGCATGTACTAAAGGATTGAGTTAATATGCTCTGATTAATTTTAGTTAGTGTGGTCAAGTTATGTAAATAAACTGCTTTTACTTTAATTAAAGTTTTAAATTTTCTTTGAATTTTGTCAAGAGTCAAAGTTTGAAAAGTCAATGTGACACATCGGACTCGTATCCGGGTCGGGTACGGGTTAGGGTATTACACCCCGATCATAGCAGAGATTATTGCGATCCAAGAAGGCTTAAACTTGTTTATTAATTCAGAGTGGAGGGAAAAGGGGAGTCTGATTTTAGAGAGTGATTCATCTACTGCTTTAAAGTGGATAAATAACCCGCAGACTAGTCCGGTTCACTATGCTGATTTGGTTAGAGCTATTTAGAAGACTATGTTGCAATTCAATGTTATAACTACCCTGGTTAAGAGATGTACTAATGATGAAGCTGATGGCTTAGCAAAATCTGGTATAGGATAGTGTCAGGAGTCGTCTTTGTTTCGGTTATTTAGGAGTCCTGTTTTGGGTGTTTGTACGGGAACCTATGTACTCTATCTATTTTGTTTCTGGTTGTAATCCTAATTTCTGGTAATAAAATTTAGTTACTCTTTTCCTCCTTCCTATGACTATTGAGTTTTTCGGAACTAAATGGTTATGAAGGGGGTTTTTAATGAGGCCACATTCTTATAAAAAAAAAAAGAATAACACCTACAATTCAGAATTCTATGAACAGGGTGTAACTGGCAAGAAGCTGATAGCAAAACAATAGATCATTAAAACAATTAAAAGAAAAAAAGACAATAGCTAATAGACCTTGACAAAAGCAAAAAACTCCTCCTGAACATGAACAACAACTGCCATTCGTTTCAAGTGCGATGCAAAATGGTGCCTCTGCACAATCTGCACAGGATTGCCGCTCCCTCTGAAATGCATAAGATATAAGATAAGTGAGCTAGACCATAACTTTATAAAGAAACAGGCTTCTAAAATAATGAATAATTAAAATCACAAAATGCAGGTAAACAAGATATATTCATATAGTGCATGAAACACAAACATGCAATACACTGTAATTGGACTCTAATGAGAATATGGTGTTAAATATTAACATGCAGGTTCCAAACATTAAACAGTGTTTTGTAAGGAAATCTGGACCACTGAATCAATAACCCAGCAGATTAGATAAAACTTACCATACATAAAATTACAAACGTAAAACGGAGCAGCAAAAATCTGTCAATCCTAGCTTTATCAACAGACTTAATCCATCTATGCAGATACTATCTAGGAATCCACCACCCATTATCAGCTACTATTGATAAATTTTTCAGTGGCACGATAACCATCTTATATTACACTTGTACTTATCATTTTTTTTTAAATTTCAAACCTAGTGAGAGAAGCTCCCGCTTCTCTCTTGGTTCAAGGTGACTTTTATTTTCATTCTTCATCTCAGCTCATCTTTACCATTGTCGCCCGCCGTCGTTTATCATCGCCGACCACTGTCTGTCGTCCGACATCCGCCGTCTGCAGTTCGCCGGCCGCCGCCACACTCTGTCGTCTGTTCGCCGCCACTTTTCTTCAGGAAGAACGTCTCCTCACTCTGATTTCATTTTTGAGATTAGATTTTCGAGTAAGTAATTCATTCGACGCAGATCTAATCGTCGTTCTTCTCTGATTTCAGCCGCCGGCCATCGTCAGTTCACCGTCATACCTCCGGGCTCGTCGTACACTCACGATCTAATCCTTTCTATCCTAGCGTTCAGACTTGCTGCCATTCCCCGTGAGTCTGCCTTTGACCGGTTCGACAAAGCAGAACAAGTCATGGTTCTGCCAAGTTATTCTCCCGATATTTTTCATCTCTGAGGGTTTCGTTGAAGGTCAACTCGTAGTTCCTCCTTCACTCAGGACCAAGATCTGCCTGTCGGACTCTTTCCATCACTTCTGCCCTTCTATTCCTCACCGGTAGTCACTGTTTTCACGATCCAGATTAAGTCTGAGAGTTTCGTTGAAGGAAGAATACGCTATTCCACCTTATCTAAAGTTCAAGATCTTCCTATCCGACTCGCTTCATCCCTTCCACCCTCCTCTTCTTCGCCGGCCAGTTACAGCATTCACCATAATCGGGCGCGCGACAGGGATTTTACGTCAGGTCACTAAGTTTTCCTCTAATGTCGGGTGCTGGAATCCACCCTTGTCATCAGCAGGGACCTCCGGTCCAAGTTCCTCTGCCCTCTGCAGCTGCGCCTTCTCCGCAATCTCACCCTTCTCATCATGACGAGGTTCGTACGATATTCATTATGGGTATGCCTGAAGATGTCAAAGAGAGAGAGCTGCAAAATCTACTGAGATGGCTTCCAGGTTTTGAAGCTTCGCAAGTGAGCTTCAAGGGAGAAAAGCCTAAGGGTTTCGCTCTCCTCTCAAATGCAGATTTTGCAGTTGCTGCCAAGGATGCACTTCAAAAAATGGTTTTTGATGATAAGTTGAAGTCCCTTTTGCACATTGAGATGGCAAGGAAGAATCTTGTTGTTAAAAGAGGAATAGTTACAGCTTCTGATGCTTTAGACAAGTATGGATGTGATCATGTTCCTCCTGTTCTGCCAATGCCAAATTCAGCTTCTGTAGCATCTCCTAGTCTTCATGTGACTGGTAAAAATGGGTGTTGCGATGAAAAATCTGCTGCAGATGGTGTCCACGAGGGAACCAAGGAGTCCACCACAAAAGTGTGCAATAATGACAAGTATAGCTGCTACACGATATTTGTTGAAAATTTACCCGAGAAGATTCATTGGAAGAGGCTTGGAGCTTTATTTTGCTCCCACGGTCGTGTACTTGATGCTTTTATCCCAAATAAAAGGAACTCAAAAGGAGTTCGCTTTGGTTTTATTCGCTTCGCATCAATCGAAGAAGCTAGGAGAGCGATCTCAAAAATGAATGGCTCTCGTATCGACGGCAAAAAAATTGGTGTTTCTTTCGCTAAATTCAAACCTCGACATTCCTATTGGAGAAAGTCCTCGACAAGTGTTCTTCGCAAGTCCGGGACGAAGGATGTTTCGAGGAAGAATCATTTTAAAGTTGAAGGTGTTATAGATGAAGAAAAACTTCAGGTGTTGAGCAATTGTCTAGTGGGGTGGTGCAAGGACTTTGTCAAATTGGTCATCTCGCCAGACAAATGCAAACGAAAGGCCTCACTGACTTCACCTTAACGAGAGCTGCAGGTAATGCAATTTTAATGATTTTCGAAGACAATGCTTCCTTGAGAAGTGTGAAGAACGATAAATCAAAGATTCTCGCAGAGTGGTTCTCCATAGTCGAAGCTTGGTCAGAGAGTTTGGTAATGGAGTGTCGTCGAGTATGGTTAGTTTGTGAGGGTGTTCCTTTTCACACATGGAATTGGGATACTTTCAAGAACATTGCTGATAAGTGGGGTTTATTACTAGCTATCGACGAAAGTTGTCAGTCTCCATCATCCTTTGATCGGGCAAAAATTCAAGTCCTTACAAAGGCTGATGCGAGAATTGATGCGATGGTGGAATTGAAGGTTTGTGACAACTTCTTCAAGGTCATGGTGCATGAGATAGAGCCTTCATTCAAACCAAACTCTTGGGCTCCTGAAGAAGACGATTCTCATTAGATCTTGTCTCTTCAATTGTGGTTGTTTTAGTCTATATGGTTGTAGGTGTTGCTTTTAATTTGTATTATGTTCTGTTGCGCTGTTTTATTCCTACTGTTGGTGGTGTAATTAGAAGTAAGGTGTTTAGACTGTGGCTTTGGATGAGGTTATATGAGGTTAAGGTGTTTGTTGTAATGGTGTACATCACCGTGAGAGGATATTCCGTGGTGTCTTTTGTATCGGGTATTTTATCAATAAAATTTGAGGTACTCTTTTCTTCCTTCCAATGTTCGTTAACATACAATCCAACAAAGTATTTGCAAACAGCATTAACAAAAAGAAAAATGTTTAAGGCTTGCATTGGAAATTCAAGCATTTTCAATTCGAGGATGAAACTCTGTTTTCCCGTTTTCAGAATTTTTCAGGAATCTCTTTCTTCCCCTAGAAGGGGTAATACACTACTTAAACTTGTGTGAAGTACGAAAAGAATCAGGAATGCATGAAAAGGCACCAAAAGCTATAAGGCAGCTCAAAATAAAAGAGTATAAATGAAAGTGCTAACATAAGAATCACTAATAGAAGCAAAATTTACTAGTGGGCAAGCAAATTACTTTTTTGGAATAGCCTTCTCATCAGATTTATAACTCCAATCAATTCCTTTTAGTGCAGCCTTCTCAAGAGGATCACCGACCTACGAGCATTTGTGAAACTAAAGTAACTTACAATTGAAAAATACACATAACTTCAACCAAAATCGTAAGTGTAATTGATGGCATAAAGGAGAATCCAACACAGGGCACTCGAAGACATTTAATATGCTCACACCAGGAGCAGATATATCAAAACTCATAATCTTGATGAGAATGAATTACATAATTCTATAAACATAAAGCTAAAATGTAGACATGCAAGATTTTTATAAATGCCTAATTTAAAAGTAAAAGGTTCCATTGCCATTGTGGTCTTCTAAAATTTTTAATATGTATCAGATAGGTAATACTTTGCAATCCAGTTAGCATTCCACAAACTACATAACCTATTTGTAACAATGGAAAAAACTGCCCTGACAATTGAGACATTAGACAAAAAATACTGGTTTACCATAACCTCCAATCATAATTTAGAAAACTACTTATCATCAGATAGAGAAGATAAAGTAGCATTCCAAAAAGTAATTACAAGGAAGAAGCCAAATACGGAATTATAATATTTGCTTAATAAATTCAAGTACCAGCTTGTTGTCTACAAACACCAAGGCATGACAAGAAGCCAGAATCTCAACTGTGCGGGAAGGAACGTTAGTCATATCAGATTCTAATTCTGAACTGTCATTTAACCCAACGACTCCAGAGAACTCCTGGAAAAGAGCAATGAAAATGAATTCATTAAATGGGAATAAAACATTATAGAAAATCACTTCTTGCTCTGTCAGTAGCATACCATATCATCTGATGTCAATGTTCCAGTTTTATCAAAACAACATATGTCAACCTGTGGAATAAACAGCAAGTACTGAAATCAATATAATGCATCAATTACTACAAAATCAAGCCAAAACAAAGAATAGAAATACAAGAAAATAGTACATAGCCTGTAACCATGAATGCTAAAGCTACAATCTATCTTCTTTAACTATTTCACGCAAAATTGCCAGGCCTTTAGCCCAGATAAGGAATAAATCCCACAAACCTTTCCAGCAAATGGAATTCGGAAAGGCTCAGTACAAAATATTCCACGCCGTGCAAGGGCAATTAAAGATGTATTGACAGCTATTGATAATTCCATCGGTAGCTCTGGGGGAATCACAGAAGTAATAATAAAAGAACAACTAAGGAAGAGCTTGTATTTGCTTCTTGTGGGATCTTCCAGCCCCTACATGTAAAAATGGAATTATTATCACATACCTACCAAATATGTAACCCTGATAGTGTTTTCACTACCTCAAGAAGAATTACTTTACCTTTTTAAGTACATAACCAGCAGCAATTATTGCAAATACAACAAGAAATAAGATAAAGAGGCCACTTTCCCAGCTGTTAGCAGTAACCTACAGCACATATATTGAAAATAAACTACTGAAAATAAATACAAGATGGATATAAATAAACCAAAAACTTAAACTAATATTGAGCAAGCACCAATAAGAAATTACCCTCTCTGTAGAAAACAAAATTGTTCTCATAAGTTTTCCTTGACTTGTTTCAAACCCAGTGCGCAGAACTACAGCCAAGCAACCACCATCCGGAGTTCTCAGAGGGAAGCTCTGGCTCAAATTAGATATATAGAATTATAAATGAAGGGAATAAACATGAGATATGTTAATAACTAAATTCTGGTATACCTACCTTATCAGATGTGTGCTGCAATATTTTAGTCCCTCCAAACAAAATATGATTCTTGTCACGCTTGGAAGATAGCTTATCCTCAATACCCCTGCCTGCTATAGAAACCTAGGATAAAAGTTTTACCTCATATAAACTGTTACTGTTCAAATGCTACTGAACAAGGTTTTTCTCTAGTCAGCTCCTATGAGAGAATTCATGTGGAAAACAACCCCATATGAAGTGCAACATTTATACAAACCAATTGATCTAAAATAAAATCGAAAAACATAGGGAAAGCATTTAAACGCAAAAGCAAAAGTAGGCTTAGACAATACAAAATTTTCAAGTCAAACTTATAAGATTGCAATACTGACTATTAAAGAGAAATATAATTAGTTCTACGACAGAAACTTTACATTCAATAATTGAACTTCCACAAAAAATGATTTTACACAACTAAACATAAATATCAGAAGCCTAAGGGATCAATATTGAATATTAAAATAGGAAACAATAAAGGAATTAAGAAGAAGAGATCCACCTTCCATTGGGGAGTAGACTCGCCTGTGAGAATGGCTTCATTCACAATGGCACTTCCCGATAGTATAAGCATGTCTGCAGGAACAGACTTATCTTCTTCGTTTTGACCAGATGAACGACCAACGGAGACAACATCCCCAGGCAATAGATCAGTTCCAGATAGTTTCACCCACCTGCAACTCCCATAGTTTGAATGATAAATCTAAAACTCTGGAAAAGCTTAAAAATAGTAGTAACAATAATAGCAATAAAAAAAATCACACACACACTATACGAAACAATAAGCTGATGTTTACAGAAACATACTTCCCACATCGATGCACCATTAGAGTCTGGCTGTCCACTCTAACGCGTCTTAACTCACTTAAAGTCTTCAACCGGCTTTTTGCCATTGTTGACTCAAACATGAACAGCATGAATAAGGTGAACAAACTGTAATACCAATACTCATCAAGACACCAAAGACCAACACAGAAGACCTACAGAAAGCAAGATAAAAATGCCACAAGAAAAGAAACTTGGTCATCAGGGAAAGAATTCTCTACATTTTAAAGACATTTTGAACAAAGGGAAAACCTGAAAGACAAAAAAGGGCTCCATGCAATGTTCTTTCATTAATTTCTGAAAAGTAGGTTGTGGATATTCAAATCTGCATTATAGAAACACAACCATGTCAACATAAAACAATCATATTATTATTAAAAAAATAGAACATAACCCAGATTGTTATAGTCTACAAATGTGGTTCCATAAATCATAAGTTCAAAAAACTGATATGTCTGAAGAATCATAGAAAATTGATGGGGGGAAAGAATTGTACTCTGTAAATTAAATTAGGTAAGAATAAAAACAAAATTAAAACAATAGAGCAAGGCAATATTAACACTCCAAAGAATCCAACAGCAAAACCATTAATCCATTGCTAAGCGCAGTAGGCTACTATCACAAGGTTACTTTCATTAGTCGTGTATATCCAGGACAAGTCAAATAAAAAAAATTGAAAGGCTAGAGTGAACATTATTATGATAGCAACATACACATTGCGTCCCCATTTTTCAGTTGCAGCAAGAACTTTAGCATCAGAGCCATGGCCAGTACATTTTATGTAATAACCAAATGTTTCCTTGGTAGGATATGGAAGCTTGCAAAAGGTATCCGCCTCCTTAGAATAGATGAAGCACTGCTTCCTGAAATCAAAGTAAATCTCCTCCACATCTTTTGCGGATGAAGAACTTGCTACCTATGCAATAAATCAAAGAAAAGTTTAAGAACCCCAATGTGAAGAGGAAAGGACAGGAAAAATAGGAGCACCTGAAGCAAAATCTGAATCGCACATTTCATGTGAAATAAGAGGGTTAAAAAGGGAAGAAAGGCTTCAGATCCAAATAAGGGGAAAAAGACGAGGGCAAACAGAAAGGCCATAATTATATCACACATATTATACAAACAAAATTCCCAAAAGGAAAATTGTATAATGCAAAACCAATTCTGGCACAAATACTTTATATAAAACTTAAACCATGCATTTGGTTATCTTTTCTATCAAGGTATAGAGTGGCATCATGGTTTTCTT